TGCTGAATATAATATTGTACCTTTTTTTTCTTCTTTCATATGAATAAAATTGTATTCGATTGATTAAAAAAAAAAAAAGAAGAAAAGAAAGGAAATAAAAAAAAGATCGTTTAAATAACAATTAAATTTGTTTTTGTTCTTTTTTTTACCATACAATACAAAATTCGACTAAATATAACAGAATAATATAAAAAACAAAAAAATAAATTGTTAAGGAAGAGTAAATCTGAACAATCGTAAAGGGTGTGCCCTTCTGCTATCTCTCTCTTTCTCTTTCTCTCTTTCTCACCCTTTCCCTTCCCCTTTGCCTATCCCTTTGGTTCTTTTAAACGGTCTACGCGCGCGAACTTGAGCGTAAATTCGTTTCCGGCTACGAACGGCGGAGCTTACCGGATTTCAAGCGCGTTTCTGAAAACTAACACGTACGTACACACACTAACAACACACGTACACGCACGCATGCATACATATATACATACGCGTACAAAAATACAGAAAGACACACATGGTATTGTGTTTGCAGACGAATAAATGTCGACGAAGTGTTGACGATGAATTCTGTTCTTACGTAAAAATGCCCCCCCCCCACCACCTTTGTAACAACAAAATCCTGCCCTTCCAACCCTTCCCACATTTTCCTACACGTATCGTGTATATCAATATTTAAAAACAAAAATAAATTCATAGAATATTAAACTCGTCAAATATTATTCATTGGAATATTGAAAATAATATATATTTTTTTTGTTGAATAATAAGTGTGTGTAAGATAATTATTAAAGGTGGATTAATAATTCAAAAAAGAAAAGAGGGCTGGGGTGAGAAAAATTAATTTCATAATATTTTTGTTTTGTTTTGTTTTGTTTTATATAAGAATAAATATTATCGATTATTATAAATAAATGATGACACACACAAACGTTCTCAATTTTTTTTATCGACTTACTCCTCATTGTTATAATCATCCCTCACACATATATATATATATATATATATGTTTAATAATACTTAAATTTTAAAATCAATATTACGAATATTATCCACCAAAAACTGACCACTGACATACTAAAATTACACCCAACGACGTTTAACGGTACCAACAACTTTTTTCACACAAATGCATACAAAAAAAGAAATACATATATATATATACATCTTTAAAAAGAAGAAAAAGAAGAAGAAACAAAAAAAAAAATGTTTGAATGAAGAGCAGAGAAGTAATACAGTAGTAAAGAAGAAGAAAAAAAAAAAAAAATTGTGTCATCGAATTTTCTGAAGCAACCCGAATAGCAGTCTCAGCAGTAGTAGCAGTAGTAATAGTAGTATAGTAACCACTACCACCACCACCATTAATAGTAGTAGTAGTAGCAGCAGCAGCAGCAGCAGCAGCAGGAGAGGAAATAATAACGAGCCCGACGTCGCACTGCCGCAGCAGAAAGGTTGACGACCCGACACGAGGCGACGCCCTCTCGCCCCTAACTCCTTCCCTTGACTCCCTCTGACAGAGCATGGCCCTTCGGCATGGCATGGCATCCCCCGTTGCAGTCACCGACGCAACCAACCAACGAACCACCCCTACCCCTCTCTTTTACCTCCACCACCGCCGCCGGGCTGATAGCGTACGTTGCCTACGTACGCTAAAACCCCACGGCCACCACCCTCGTTGATACACCCCTGTCACCCCGCACCTACCCCTTCCTTCCTTCTTCTTCCTCCTGTTCCACCTCGTCGTCATCCCTCCTCACCCACCTATTCCCCTTCATCACTCTTTACCTATCCCAGCCAGCACCGTTCCGTTCGTTTCTACTACCACCACCACTATATTACAACTACCACCCTACTACTCAGCTTCACCAGCAACCACCACCATCACCCCCCTCTCCCCGACCGACTGTCTGGCCAGGGTCGGGGTCGTTGAACGTCTATAAAGATTTTGACTTGGCGCTGCTACTGCTCCTGGCTCCTGTTCCTGTTACTCCTACTGCTGATGATTCTGATGATGATGCTACTGCAACTACTGGCTCAATACTCTTATTACTGATGCTACTACTTTTGTTGTTGTTGTTGTTGTTTTTATTGATGATACTTATGATATGATGTTATGTATATTATTTCTATTAATATTAATATTATTATTCATTAAGAGTTCTATAACTCTTGTTACTATTGCAACTAGTGATATTCATATGCTGATGTTATGTATTACTTCTATTAATATTAATATTATTATTTATTAAGTTCTATAACTCTTATTACTACTGCAACTACACTGGCATGATACTTCTACTACTTTTATTGTT